TCCGTATTCGAGAAATTTGACCAAATGTAAAAAAATAATTTTTTTATAAAAATTGTTCAAACAAAAGTTGTTTGTAATATTATTCTCTATAATTTTTATTCTATACATAATTTCTCTAAAATGAACCGTATTCGAGATATTTGAGAAAATGTGTAAATTTCGAAATTTGAAGAAAACTCAAAAACGGATAAAGAAAAAACATTAAATTTTAAACTTTTAAACTAAGTTTTATTTCGGTCTGACGTAAAATGATTAGATTTTGGACAAAGTCGGAACATCTGGGAAGCCGTTTTTATATTTTATGGAATATATCTGTTATTTATGTTTGGAGAAAAAAATTGTTCAAATAAAAGTTATTTCTAATATTATTATCTATAATTTTTGATTTATGTCAAAATTTCCTGAAATGGTCCGTATTCGAGAAATTTGACAAAATGTGCAAAATTCCGATTTTTATGAAAATTGTTAAAAATAAAAGTTGTTTGCGATATCGATCTCTATAATTTTTGTTAATACATGATTTTTCTAAAATGGACCGTAATGGAAAAATTGTAGGAAAAGTGCTAAATTTAAATTTTTCAGTATTTTCATTTTCAATGAACATCTATAGAAAAATGTTTTGAGGTAGATGTATGTGGAAAATGTATATATTTATTTTATCCTCTAAACATTTATGGAGCTGCTGCAATAGGTTGTACAAAATAACCGGAAAAAGCCTGTAATAACTAGATAGGAAAGTCATGTGTTGGACACATCAGATTTTTTATAACATCTGCCGAAATATTGTATCTGTTCAGAATCATATTCGAAAAGATAATAGTGAATTAATAAAATACAAAATAAGAACAGATGTATTTGTACATAAATTTGCAACATTACTGATTGTAATTATATTATCTTAGAAGTACAAATACCTATCCACCATCCCAAGAAAGAAGATTCCAGATACTACTAGATAGATAACCAGCCTATCATCAGAAAAATGAAAAAAATAAACGCATCAAATATTATAAACTAGGAAGTAGGTCTAGGCTATTTATATAACATTCTAAATGAATGTTGAGAGAATGTTTAGTCATTATTATCTTATTTTGTACGACTTGGAAATCACTTAATTTGTTTTTGTAATGTTGAAAAAAGAAAAATATACCTGATATCTAGAGTTAGGTAGGTAAAAGAGAAAATAATCACTCACCTAATATGCTCCATAACGATATTTCCCAACTCTACGTTTCCTATCCGACAAACACTGTCAAGGCATTTTGGATATATTAAAATTATCACTTTATAATATTTAACAATAATTATTAGGTACAATCATGCTCTTATTATCTCAATATTTTATAGATACTTTTCTTATGTTCCACTGAATTACATTGCACATTTTAACATTATCATTCATTATAATTTAGGATTGACCTTCAACAATAAAAATACTAAATTTTATTAGTAGATACAGGTAGTAGAGATAGAGAAGCTTAGAACGTTGGTTATGTTTTACGTTACGTTATCGATTCTATGAAACCGCTGAAACATTGTTGCACTGCCGTACGGGAGAAATTTAAATACTAGGTAGGGGAGATGCGGGTAATGCCGGCCACTTAAGAAAATGTTTCTAAAATTTAGCATGAACATCAAAACTGAAATATTTGTCATTGTAAACTTTAGTTATGTAACCACTCGGATGTTTCGTTTATCGCTAGGCTAGGACCACCCTGTCATGATTCACGAGTGCTACTCATATTTCGTAGAACGATACGTCTGACTGGGTCGCATAAGAATATTTGGTGATAAAGCACAAAGCACGGCATTCTTTCATAGACATTCATTCGATACGTTTCATTTTATGTATTATTATTCTTAACACCGATTAAATTCGACTCTATATTAAAATCAGATTTATTTAATTTAAAATTAATTAACATAGTTTACAGTTAATTGTTAAACAACAAGCTTAATGCCATGTCATAACCCTCAAATGAAGGTTAATATGTAATTTTACTCTCGTGTTATAATTTACGATTAGCCGGTGCATAGCGACACTACGTGTAGTACCTGCCTCTGTACGGTTTGTACCGATCATAAATTATTTTTATTTTGATGTTTTTTAAAATTGTTAAAAGTGAGATAAAAACTTTTTGAAGTAAAATAAACGTAATATTTTTTAAATTCTTACAATATAAGTAAAAAATACCTAATTGAATATTAATTAAAAAAATAACATACTAGTTTTTTAAAATTTGTGGCCACTACACTCTTTATGTGCCCACATTTTTAAAACTCAAATACCACATTTCTGTTTTCCTAAATCCCCTACATATTTTGCATAATTCGTCCAGTTTGTTTCTTCGTAATCCGACGAAGTACTATTATCTACCAGCCAGCCATTCTAGTTGGTCCTACCCGCCGAGGCAACTAAAGAGGAAAGGTTATTTTTTTATCAACATTGCAAATTCCACATTATTCTGTATAAAAATTGCAAATATATAAAAAAGCAAGT